CTCGCGATGCCATGGTCTATGAGGCTGCCTCTGCCCTTGTCGCAAGTGGTCTCGACGTCTGGTCTAATCGCCACTCCTCCGAGCCTGCCTGGCAACTCGGCCTTCTCCACGCGATCCGCAGGTATGCCCCAATCCGCCAGGGCCACCCAAGGGTCCGTTACGATTTGATAAACCCTGACAGGGCTCGAATTCTACGATACTTCGACCCGGTGAAACCTTCGCCCGGCACGAGGTAGGCCGCGATCAACACTTTGTTGCCCGAGCACGCGTGAACATTGAGCGCCGCGATGCCCCTGAACGGGTCGACCTCACCATTGTCCACAATCCTTCTCCGTCGTAATATCCAGTGCGCGCCAAGTGCGTTCTTGCCAGTATGATATCTCCGCCCGTGGTGCACTTCTCCGAGCGCTTCGTAGCCATTGCTGCCGTGCCCATCATCTTCCAACCGTATCGTGCAAACTTCTCTCGTACCTCCTCGAGCGTCGTGCCATCTAGGTGCGTCTCGCACATCATGATCACATGTTTCTCCTGCCCTGCCTCCGCGGCGAACTTGTGGGCTTTGGCTCCCCACGTGGTGATGTTGGCGAACAGAATGCTAAACAACATGCTCAGAACCATCACTAGCCGCCCCCACGCCGCCGAGGGCCGCGTTCTTGTGCGGGGTAGCCTTGCCTGCGACTCTACACTTCGCCGCCTGCACCTTCTGCTCGGCTTGCTTTCTGATCTTGTCAACCACTTCCTTCCGCTCACGAATCTGCTCCTCTGTGAGTGGTGACTGGGCCTGGGCCGCTGAAGACGCCGCCCCCGTGGCGCCACTCGCAGCCGAGTCCGCTGGCGTCGGATCCACCACGTTGCCTTCCGCCGCCCTGCGTTTCTTCTGGGACTGCGTGCGCAAGGTGCCAGCCTGCTGCTTGAACTGGTTGAATTGTCGGTACTGGCCAGCCGCCATCTGGAGCAGCTGGTTCAGCGCCTCCATGTCGTGTTTGAACTTCGTGAGTTTCGTTTTGTCCTCTGCGTCGTACTCGTCGATGTCGCCGAAGAGGTCGCCAACGTCGGGTGCCTGCCGCTTCGCCTGCTGCGCTGGGGGTTGGCACGCTGTCTCTGCCTGGTATGCCACCAGCGCTCTCTTACGCTCCATCGTGGCACCGGCAGCCTCTTCAATCGCCTTCTCGCTCTTGGCTCGAAGGGTCTGGATGCGGTCCTCCGCCTCCTGCAGTTGGCTCGCCGTGTTCTCGACCTCCTGCTGGCACTTGTTGAGCTTGTTGATGGCTTGGCGCAGCTCCATCTCCTTGGAGGGTTCCTTCTTCGGAGCCTGCGCCGCTGCCGCCTGAACCTGGGACCGCGCCACTTTGAGGGGCCCCAGGTCGATGTGCGGGGCGTGTGGGCGGAAAGGGCCTCGACTTTGGCTAAAATTGCGCTGAGTTCCTCCAGCGGGCCGTGCGCCTTCGGCTTGTGCCAGGGAGACGTGCCTCTCTTGCCTTCGCTGCGACCGCCACCGCGTGCATGCCAGCATGGGAAGACTGCTTGACATTTGTTGCGCCAGCCGTCGCATTTCTCGAGTTTCCAATCGTATACCCAACCACCGCAAGTGGCACAGAAGATGTAAGCTTTGCGCCCACGTCCCATGCTGCAGGGGTTGCCGCGCCAAGGAACCCGTGACGGGCGGCAGCTCGCCCCTGAGGTTGCTGCAGAAGGGCAGAAACTGGCCGCGGACTAGCGGTATCCACTTGACTCACGTGGGAACGAAAGAGGAGGACAACGACAAAGAGGAAGGGAAGGAGGAGGACGACGAGAAGGAGGGAGGGAACACGAGGAGGGGGAGGAAGGGAAGGAGGGGACACATGACAGGAAGACTAGTTGAGGAAAGGAAGAGACAGTGGCGGAGGAATTGGGGAACTGACAGATGCGTATGGGGGAAAAGGAGGAGGAGGAGGAGGAGGAGGAACAGGAGGAAAAGGAGGAGACGAAGAAGACGAGGACGAGGAGGAGGAGGAGAAAAAGCGAAGAGAAGCGCAGGGGAGAAAAGGAGGAGGCGGAGGAGGAAGAGGAGAAGAAGAAAGAGGAGGAAGGCTGAGGTGCAGCAGAGAGAGAAGGAAGGACGAGGGTGAGGAGGATGATGAGGGGGGGGGGAAGTGGAGGAGGAGGACGGGGAAAAGCAGGAAGGAGGGAGGAGATCATCAGGGAAATCCCAGCAGCCCTTCAGGACGACGGTGGTTTAGGGCGTTCTCTCTCTCTCTCTCTCCCGCTTCCCATGTTCACCTTCGGAGGGAAGGGGGGTCTGTCACTGCTTTTTCTCAGTGTGCACCCCCTCACCCACCCGACCAGCGACAGACCTGGGCCGAGAGAGGCCACTCCCCGCCATCCCTGCCACCAGCAGCAGCAATATGATGATAATTAAGGAGGAGGAGGCGGAGGAGGAGGAGGCGGAGGAGGAGGAGGAGGAGGAGGAGGAGGGGGAAGAGGAGGAGGAGGAGGAGCAGGAGGAGGAGGAGGAGGAGGAGGAAGAGGAGAAGGAAGAGGGCGAGGGCGAAGAGGAGGAGGAGGAGGGGGACAGCAGCAGCAACATATGCCAAAATGCACACCGCGCGGCAGGCGCTGGGCCGTGCGCGAGCGCCCTGTGGGCCTGTGGGCCATCTGCACGGGGATCTCCGCCGACGGGTGCGGCGGGGGTGCCCTCGCAGTGCCCGCCCCGTGCCAGCCGGCCCTCCCTGCCGCACCTCTGCGGCAGAAGCTGACTCCACGCGCGGGCGCCCAATGCGCAGCCTGCACCGGTGTTCGATGCCAGGGTTATGATGTTCCAGCCTACTTTAAACCTTGACCACCAGAAAGAATTTCGAGCACCGGAAAAACGTACCGAAACTCGAGGGTTTTCCTGTGTCGGGCTCTGGGAGACACTCGTCCGACACTGTTTCGACACTCTTTCGACACTTTTCCTGGTGCTCGAAATTCCTTCTGGGATGCGGCCCTCAAGTACGATTGGAGCAACATCATGCCAGGGGCGGCAGCGGGGCCCGCAGGGTGTCCGCCCTACGCACGCGCGCCATCCTCGTCAGCACGCGGCGCATAACACACACACACACACACACACACACACACACACACACACACACACACACACACACACAACACACACACACAACACACACAACACACACACACAACACACACAACACACACACACACCACACACACACACACGGTGTGGCAAAAGCTGGCTCGTGCACGTGGCGCCCCGTGCGCGCCCGGCACCGGTTTTTGACAGGGGCGGCAACGGGGCCCTTCGGATGTCCGCCCTGCGCAAGCGTACCATCCTTGTCAGCACGCAGCGTGAACAAAACACGGTGGGGCGAAAGCTAACTCGTGCGCGGGCGCTCCGCGATTATTTGACGCTGGTTCTTGACAGCATGGGCGGCTGGGGGTGCCCTCTTCTTGGCGGCTCCGTGCAGGCTCACGATCCTTGACAAAAGCCATAATTTGCGGCTTGGGGTCAATTGACCCCTTCGGCCTCCCCCCTCCCCCTGGATCTGGAAGGGGGGGCGGCGACCGGTCAGGTGGCCCAAGAGCCCAACATGGCTCAAAAAGGGCTCCACATAGCGTAGCCCAAGACTGCCTCCTGTATGAATCACGATAGCGCGAGGTCGCGCAAGATGCCGTCCAACATACCCCAAGAAGTCTCAAGACCGCTCCAAGACGGGTCCGATTGGCTTCGGAACTTCCCCAGGACGCCCCCAAGAGGCCAAGATCCGTCTATCACCTACGGGACATCAGTGCGCTTTGCCTTTACATGTTTTCGCTTCTGGTGGCTGTCCACGGCCTCACTGTGGCTCCGAGATGGCCCAAGAGGTCCCTAAGAAGGGGCCCACGAGGGCCCCAGGACGGCCCCAAGAGCGCCCGAGAGCGCCCCAGGAGAGCGCAGAGAGGCGACTGTGGGGGGGTTACAAGGGGGACCTTACTCTTGGAACCCGCCTTCATTCATCGTGTCCTCCAAGATGGTCCCAAGACGCCCTGAGAGCCGAGCCCCTGGGAGAAATCCCAGGAGACTCCGAGAGGCACCAAAGAGGCCTCTAGTTCACAATCAAGCTCCCTGGGGTATCCAAATGATGCCACGCTCTCCCCACGATAAGGGCAGCTCTTCCAGGCATCGTTCATAGACGGGCGAATTTGAATACGCGACGCGTCAAGATGAGGATGAGGAGGAGGAGGAGGAGGAATGAAAAGGAGGAGGAGGAGGAGAAGGAGGAGGAGGTGAAGGAGGAGAAAGGCTGAATTGCAACGGGGATAAAGGAAGGACGAGGAGGAGGAGGGGCATCAGCAGAAAAAATCTAGGAGCGGGAAGGACGAAGAGCTAGAGAAGGAGATGAGGATGGCGATGATGATCAAATACCATGGAGGATGGGGAACAGGAAGTGAAACCATGGATATACTAGGAGATGGGAGGGGGACATGAAAAAGAATGAGTGAGAAGAAGGAGGCAAAAAGGAAGGAGGAGGAAGAGGAGGAGGGGGAGGAGGAGGAGGAAGAGGAGGAGGAGGAGGAGGAGGAGGAGGAGCAGCAGGAAGAGGAAGAGCAGCAGAACACGACGAGAAGGACAGGGTCATCGACCTGTAAGAAGTGACGAGCTGCTTCTCAATGTGGACAATCTTCGCAAAGAAATACTCGTCGTCCTGGTAAGACTCGATGAACCCCTCGTCGATGGGCACCGTGGGGGAGACGAGAGGAGGAGGAGGAGGAGGAGGAGGAGGAGGAGGAGAAGGAGGAGGAGGAGGAAGAGGAGGAGGAGGAGGAGGAGGAGAACGCGGAGGAGCACAAGGAACAATATAGGAAGGAGGAGTAGGACGAGGAGGAGTAGGAGGAGGAGGAGCAGCAGGAGGAGAGATCCTTGAACTGATCGTAGAGCACAAGGCCGCCAAACTTCATCGTCTTAGGGTCTGCGCCGGTTCGCGTCGAGGTGACTTTGAGCCGGTACCATGCGAACGAGGGCCTGGTCTGCACTACCTTGTTCACAAAATCCGCCGACCCCCCTCTCTGCCGTGGGTGACAGGGCGTGCGAGGGGGGCTTGGTTTGGCAAGGGCTCCCTGGCCACACCACATCTCAGGGAAGCAGTCGGGAGCTGGATTTAGAAAGCGGGAGGGGGCACTTTTTTCTCTGTCCCAGTTGAAGGGGCAGGTGCCCACCTGAGCCCCCCGGGGGGCGAGCGGAGCATAGGACGCGGACACGTGCAGACAGAGGCTCCACTTGGCTGTCTTCCTCCTCTGTTGAGGGGCAACAGCAGCGGGAACTGCGTCAGAAGGGGAAACGTCGACCTGGAAGAGGCGATACATCGCCGATAGATCGGCAAAAGGCCCACGATAGCGCATCCGCACGGTCTTGGGCGGAATATGTATGCTATCGGCCCCCCCATCGAAGAAGAATGGGCGATCGGAGGTCGATGCGTCCCCCCTTCGCTAATCCCCCCGAACGTTGCCCCTGACCTTGTCCCATCTCCCTGGAGAGCGAAAACTCGAGAGTGGAGCAGGGGCCTCTTAGTCCGTTTTAGGGGGCTTGTTTTTGCTGTCTAGGGACCCTCTGGGGCCGTCTTGGGGCCAATTTGGAGGCCGCCTTGGGTGTTTGAGGGTAAAGCAAAAACGAAGCCGCTAAAATCCTTTCAACGCGTATGGCAAATCAATGATTTGGTTCCTGGAGGCGCTCCGGACGGGATCTCTTGGGGTCCTTTTGGGCTGGGGGGGCGGGTCGGGGCGGGCGGACGCGTCGGCCCGCCCCTCTTGGGGGGGTCCTCGGAGCTCTCTTCGGGGGCGTCTCGAGACGTCTTGGGGAAGCGTCTCGGGACCCCGCCGGGTGCCTCTTGGCGCCATCTGGGACCCTCTTACCAGACCCCCTATCGCGCTGCGAAAGAAACACTACGCGAATATGTTCGCTATGTACTCGGCCTGCGGGCCTTACCGAGCCCTGGGGGCCGTCAAACAACGACTCAGGATGAGAAGCAGGTCCCGGAGAAAGGGTCCAGACCTCTGGGGGTCGACTTTGGGGAGAGAGAGAGAGAGAGAGAGAGAGAGAGAGAGAGCGAGAGAGAGAGAGAGAGCGAGAGAGAGAGAGAGAGCGAGAGAGAGCGCCAGAAAACGTCCGGCGGGGGTCGACTTTGGGGAGAGAGAGAGAGAGAGAGAGAGAGAAAGAGAGAGAAAAAAGAGAGAGAGAGAGAGAGAGAGAGAGATTGGGGTCGACTTTGGGGGGGGGAACACGACGTCGGGGTCTGGGTTGAGCCCTCCACTTGCCATCTTTTGCGCCGTCTACAAGGGCTCCCAACTTCGCGCTTCGCGCTGCGCGAAGCTCGAAGTGCGAAAAACTTCGCGCTCTCGCGCCGCCTCCCAGGGGAGAAGAGGAGGACGAGGAGGAATCGAAGCCGAACCGCGAAGCGCGAATAATTTCGCGCCCTCGAGGGCGTCCTTGGATTCGGACCGGCGCTGGACCCCCCTCCGGCGCCGCCCCTGGCGCGCTCCGCGCGCCAGGGAGAGGGCCCCCAGCGCCGATTCCAGAAATCCGCGCGGACCTCCGAGTTTTTATGTTCGTGTCACTTGTTGTTCCCCCAGTCAGGGGCCCACTTCGGGCCGAGTCGGGCCCCTCCGGGGCCAGCCCGAGGCGCCCCCCCAAAAAAGGCAAGCCGCAGGCGCGTCTCCGCGTGCGCAGCGCAGTCCCCCCCCACGGGTCGCGGCCCATTCCCCGAGGCCTGTTCTTCATACCGAGGGGCTCCTGATTGCTCCAGGTCTCTCAAGAAGCGTGGGGGTGTGGATCGCGTGGGGTGGGTGGGAAACCGCTGTCCTTCGGGGGGCGTGGGGAGGTTGGGGAGCGAGAGTGGGTGGGTTTGGGGCGCGTGGGGGGGGGCGGGCAGGGGGCGTCGGACAAGTAGGCACGGGGGGGTGCTTATTGAAGGATCCGGAGCAGGGCTCCACACTTCGCGCTTCGCGCTTTGCGAAGCGCGAAGAACTCCGCGATCTCGCGCCACCGCATGGGGAGAAGGGGAGGACGACGAGGAACCGAAGCCGAACCGCGAGGCGCAAAGAACGTCGCGCCCTCTAGAACGCCCTTGCTGAGGGACCCCCTGAGGGGGCGAAAATTGCCAAGAACCAAGCAAGGTGCAGAAAGGTCTGGACGTGGGCGCCGGAGCGGCGCAAGCCTGAGCGATAGTCGACGGGAAAGCCCAGCGCCATGCCCCCGAGCAGCCACAGCCTCAGCGGCGAGTCGCACTGCTGGCGGAGGGTGCTCAGGATGACCTCGCCCTCCTCCTCCTCCTCCTCCTCCTCGTTTTCCGCCCTCTCATCACACTCCTCCTCCACCTCCTCTGCCTCGTCATCTTCTTCTTCTTCTTCATCTTCTTCTTCTTCTTCTCTCCTCCTCCTCGTCCTCGTCCTCCTCCTCCTCCTCCTCCTCCTCCTCCTCCACCTCCTCCTCCTCCCCCTGACCATGGCGCTGAAAGCATCCGACGCCAGGCAGAGCCTAAGGTTGCGGACCAGCAGCCTGCTGGACCACCGCAGCTCACTGTCGTCGGACGAGTGATGCCCGAAGGGGTCCAGCCTCCTCACCAGAGAGCTCTTCTTGAGGGCGTCCCACGCCGCAGTGGAGCCTGCTGACACAGCTTGTGTTTGCGCACGGAGGGCCCCCGAAGGTACTCTGGGCCGGCTTCATGGGCTCTCGAGGATTCTCGGAAATCTGGGTCAGTCTCTGCACCTTGTCCCCATGGCGTGGACCCCCCGTGGTGATACTCAGAAGGCCTCAGTCTAGCCCCGCAGGGACATGTCGACGCCAGCCGATGCTACCTTCGAAGGCTCGTCCTGGGGGAGCAGAACGATGCTGATGTCGCCACACCCCAGATATCTCTAGGAATGCACTCTGATTAGAAGCTCGAGGAGGATCCAGCCGTAGCGTTAGGTCGGGCATGTCATCCTACAGGCGGATTTTGGAAGAGAAATGGAAAGCTGAAAGAAACATTCAAACGCAATCCAAAAATAATGGAAAAAACAGCTCTGAGCTATTTCTAAACGATGTTTGAATTAACCGTCGCGGCGAAGACCCCCCAAATTCCTGAGATCCGACGATGTGAACAAATACGACATCGCGGAAAATCGCGGCCAGAGCCCTTGACCCCATCGTTCTGCAACATTTTCGGAGTCAGATCGACGTGTGATGGTCCCGGGGCCAGGAGCCGGGCGAAACCGCCCGGCGTGAACAGACTTGCCACGCCCGGATCTCAGGGGGCGAGCAGCGCCATCCATACCTTTCACTCCTCTGACGTATGTGCGCAGCTCCGCGCCCTGCTGGATACCTGACAGAAGAAAGTTTTGTTCAGAGCAACACGGGTCCGCCAGGCTTCAGCCAGCTAGGAAACACAGCGCACACAGAAAACACGCGAGCCTCGAGGACAAAGTTTTTCGCGCGGCAGCGATCTCAGTATTGAACGAATGCTGTTAGAATGCGCATTATAAGGCTCATTCAAAAGGATACGATTGCAATGCATGATTATAATGCGCATGATAATTTGCATTGCAAAAATGCGCATTATGATGCGCATCTTTTGAATTCATGAATACGTGAACTCAAAAGAAGACGATTGCCAGATTTGGGCCTGCCATCATCGCCAGCCGCGGCGTCAGGTCCAGCACCGCCGCCTTGCCGGCCTGCCAGCGCCCCTCCAGCGGCAGCGTGCCGGGGGCGGCGTGCCTCCGGCGGCTGGCCGCGGCGCCGCCCCCGAAGAGGAAGTCGGCGTGCCCCGCGGGCGGCCGCGGCCGCGCCGCGCGGGCCGGGCCGGCGGCGTCGAAGGTCGAGCCCTGGTCCAAGAAGCTGCCTGCAGGAGCCCGGCAGATCGGGCGGTCGCAGAGATGGATCAAGGGGGGCGTGGATTCACCTCCTCAAGCCGTTAAGGGACCCCCCGGGGTCATCGTTAGCACCGCGCCGTAATTAAATCATTCCTGGGGGGGCGGTTTTCGCCGAACGATATGATTAGCACCGCGCAAATTGAATGGAAATGCATAATTATCGCGCCCCAGCTTGGGTGGTATCCCAATTTGCATTGGAATAAGAATAAGAATAAGAATAAGAGTGACATACGAATGATAATAATAAGAAGAAGAATAAGGATGAGAGTACTACTCAGAAAAAACAATACAAGTAATACGAATACTAATGATAATAATAATAATGATAATCGTAACCCGAATTCGAATAGTAATAAGAACAATGGTAATACGAATCAAAATAAGAATCATCACACTAATAGTTGTAACAATAACAATCCGATTGGTAATAATAAGCAGATTAGAAAACAATGATAATACATGAAGTCGTAATATTAATGACAGTTTGTTTATCAGTATCTGCATCATCCTTGTCCTATACGATTTGTGTTACCACCCCTGTTGAAACATTGTTTCTTCCCGGCCGTCGTGTGGGGCAGCGCATCCGAGGATATCGCCCCCGCTAGCACGGCGCGCTATCTTAGCACCGCACCCGCACAAAATAACTACGACAGCTTGCCCCAAACGACAAGAAGTACAATCACACACAGACTAATAATATGAATACACATAATAATAAGACTGATAATAATAATACGAATGAGAATAAAGATAAGAACGATCATAAATATCCGAAAACAGACAGGCTCCCCTGCTTCGTTCCTCCATCCCTCCTCTTTCTCATTTTCATAATCCTTGTCCTATACAATTTTTGTTGCCACCCCTAGTGAACAAGTGTTTTTTTCTGGCGGTAGTGCGTCCGAGGATATCGCCCCCGCCACGCACGGCGCGTTATCTTAGCACCCGCACCGCCAAAATTATTCGCCCCCCCCCATCGTAGGTACGGACGGTTCCTTTTTCAAAGCTGGGCTCTGCCATGCGTGGGACAGATTGTTATTGTTGATGTTGGCGGTGTTGTTGCTGTTTTTGATGTTGATGTTGTTGGTTGTTGGTGTTGCTGTTATTGGCCTTGTTGTTCTGGATCTAAGTCTTTTTGCTGGCATTCTTGCCGTTTTTCGTGTTGGGCCCGTGCTGTTAGGGAGTCTTGAGGAGGAGGAGCAGGAGGAGGATCTTTCTGTTAAGCTGGGAAAAAGACTAATAATACTAATAATAATAATATTACGAACGAGAACAACAATAATAAACAGCATATCAATCATAAACGGAATAAGAAGAATACTACGAATTACCCTGTGACGTACCCAACCCATTTGTATCAATGGGAACGAGGAGTTGGCCGAAACTTGCATGGACAATCAACTTGATGTGTAAGCTACTTGGGACACGCGCCTATGGCACGATGTGCAGGAGAACCATACAAGAACGAGGGGCGACAGCTACAGGCTCGAAAAGGACATGGGGAGTCGGGAACGCAGAGCAGGAACAAAACGTGCGGGAAGCCAAACCGTCAGCACGGCAGCAGCAGAGGGAAGTTGACTGCAGGAGGAGAACAAGGACGAAAGCGGCGTCTAATTTGAGTCTGCGGTGAGTACCCACTGTGCTGTGCCCCTCAGCAGCCCCCGAAAGTGGCGACAGTTTCACAGATCGCAGCCCCCCAGGTATGGCGAGGTCTAATTTGAATCTGCGGTGGGTACCCACTGTGCTGGGCCCCCCAGCAGCCCTCGAAAGTGGCGACAGTTTCACAGATCGCAGCCCCCCAGGGATGGCGAGGTCTAATTTGAGTCTGCGGTGGGTACACACTGTGCTGTGCCCCTCAGCAGCCCTCGAAAGTGGCGACAGTTTCGCAGATCGCAGCCCCCCAGGGATGGCGAGGTCTAATTTGAACCTGCCGCGGGTACCCACTGTGCTGTGCCCCTCAGCAGCCCTCGAAAGTGGCGACAGTTTCACAGATCGCAGCCGTGAGTCTGCGGTGGGTACCCACTGTGCTGTGCCCCTCAGCAGCCGTCGAAAGTGGCGACAGTTTCACAGATCGCAGCCCCCCAGGGATGGCGAGGTCTAGTGTGAGTCTGCGGTGGGTACCCACTGTGCTGTGCCCCTCAGCAGCCCTCGAAAGTGGCGACAGTTTCACAGATCGCAGCCCCCCAGGGATGGCGAGGTCTAATTTGAATCTGCGGTGGGTACCCACTGTGCTGGGCCCCCCAGCAGCCCTCGAAAGTGGCGACAGTTTCACAGATCGCAGCCCCCCAGGGATGGCGAGGTCTAATTTGAACCTGCCGCGGGTACCCACTGTGCTGTGCCCCCCAGCAGCCCTCGAAAGTGGCGACAGTTTTACAGATCGCAGCCCCCCAGGGATGGCGAGGTCTAGTGTGAGTCTGCGGTGGGTACCCACTGTGCTGTGCCCCTCAGCAGCCCTCGAAAGTGGCGACAGTTTCACAGATCGCAACCCCCAAGGGATGGTGAGGTCTAATTTGAATCTGCGGTGGGTACCCACTGTGCTGGGCCCCCCAGCAGCCCTCGAAAGTGGCGACAGTTTCACAAATGGCAGCCCCCCAGGGATGGCGAGGTCTAATTTGAGTCTGCGGTGGGTACCCACTGTGCTGTGCCCCTCAGCAACCCTCGAAAGTGGCGACAGTTTCGCAGATCGCAGCCCCCCAGGGATGGCGAGGTCTAATTTGAGCCTGCCGCGGGTACCCACTGTGCTCGGCCCCCCAGCAGCCCTCGAAAGTGGCGACAGTTTCACAGATCGCAGCCCCCCAGGGATGGCGAGGTCTAGTTTGAGTCTGCCGCGGGTACCCACTGTGCTGGGCCTCCCAGCAGCCTTCGAAAGTGGCGACAGTTTCACAGATCGCAGCCCCCGGCAGCCCTCGAAAGTGGCACAGGGATGACCAGGTAGGAGGCAGGGGGGAAGAGAGGGACGGGAGGGGGTGGGAAGGAGACGGTGGGAAGGAGACGGTGGGAAGGAGACGCGCGAGCAGTGCTCTATTCAAAACGAGAACCCAACGCAGGAGGGTTGGGAATAAGGTTTGCTTGTTTCGGCGAGCAGACTCGTCTGCGTTCACATAAAGGTGCGAGGTGCCAGGGTAACGCTTCTGGGGTGCCGGGTGCGTTACACTTTCGCCGCAGAGTGGGGGGGGGCGCGGGCTTCCGCCGCCGAGCGAGGCGGCACCGGCCGCATTTTGGGGAGGGCACCTCCCCCGATCCGTGGGTTTGGCGACCGCGCGCCAAATCCGTGGCTCGCTGATCCATGGTTGCGCGCCCCCGATCAGAGCTGGGCGCAGCAGCTTCGCCCATCGGGGGCGGCCGTCCGAAAGAGGGGGGGTGCAGATCGTGGCCAGCGGCACGTGCGCGGCCCAGGGGGGGGGGGGGGGCAGGGACGCAAGGGACCAAAAAGAGGCGCGATGAAGTCTAGGGAAAGATCATGGCCCACGCCATGATCTCCACTCCCGCCTGATCATCACCCCCCTCTTTGCCGCCACCGAGCCCAGCGCGTCCGCTCAGTTCTGGGTCCCAAGACCATCACAGCTCGATCTGGCTAGGAACAAAACGGACATATAGAGATGGGGTCTGGGGCTTCTGTCGTAATTTGTTGCGACGCTGCATTTTTTCGCAATGTCGGATCTCAGGGTCCGATCGCTCTGGGAGCACCTGTGCTGGGTCGCGCTGCACTGGCTCTCAGGCCGCTCGTTCCTGACTCTGCTCATATGCTGGGCCTCGAGCCCGCCGGTGCCCTCGTTTCTAAAATATCCTGACCCCCAACTGGCTGCGAACGGCCAGGAGAAATCAAAATGGCATACGCGGACAACACTCATAAGGGGCACGTGCGTGCCCAGGATCATACTATAAGAATTGCCTTATATAAGCAAGGAGCAAGGGCAGTGGGAGGTGGGCATTCCCACGGGCACCCGTGCGGGAAAGTCTGCAATGATCCCGTCAGGTAGTCAAAACGTGGCGCAAGAGCGGGGGCGCAGACGAGCGCCGGTGTGGTTGTCACACCTTGTGATGGGATATGGGATACTGCGCAGGTTGGGTTCCACACCTTGCGATTGTAGTTGAGAAGAAGCGGGGGGTGAACGATGGGGTTGCTGCAACTTGCGATGTTACGAGATGGTGAGGGTCGCTCGTGGGATCACCGGGACATCAACATTGTCTAGAGCAGAACAAGAGCACTACACTTGCAATCATTAGAAGTTGTGCCAATAGGTACCCAAAGAGATGATGCTGCAAGTGCGTATGGTGAGACTCGCCTGGTGTATCCCGATACGCTCTACGAGCCCCGCGTGGTGCCCATGAGTGCCTGTGCCATCGACGGTGTCGAGACGTATGATGGGTCACCTGGTGGATCTCGGTTTAGCGAAATTGTGGATGCATCCCCAGAAGCGGGGAGGGGGGTTGGGTGGGAAGTCGAGCGCATATAGGGTTACCACGTATTGTGATGATTTTGGCCCAGGTGGGGTTCCATACCTTGCGATGGCAGTTGGGGAAAAGCGGGTGATCACCGTTGGGGTTGCCACAACTTGCGATTAGACGACATGCTGAGAAGCATCTCGTTGGGCATAGAACATCAGATGTGCCATTGCTTTTGCACACCATCTGCGTTTATTACTATTCGCCGCTTGGCGATTAGTGTTATCAGCATCTGGATGTGTATTTCATATGTGCGCATTGTAAGCTGTATGCGCGACATCATTGAACAAAAACCTTGTGATAGTGATGTTTTGCGATAATAAGTTCATGCTGCTGGTTGCTTCTGCGAACTCAATGCGTTTCTGGGCCGTGGCGTCGCGATCTGCGTGAGGCAGAGAAGCGACCATGAGAGGCACACACTTCGATTATCCTACCTCGAACTCCGATCCTCGATGGGGCTAGCCCTGACTACCTACCAGACCACCCCAGCCCACCCCGAAGACCCGAATGTCGGGTTGGGGGGGGGGGAGGGTACGGGTTTCATAGGTGTTTTTTTCAATGTTCCCCGATCCCCCCCCCCGCACTGAAAATGGCGGGCAATTTGGAGCCTTCGCGTTGGGTTGGGGTGCTTTGGTGGGTGGTTCGGCGGTGGACAAACTCTCTTTCGTAAACCTCCATTCAATGAAAACGGCCTGGGACCGAAACCGACGGACCTGGACCCGCAAAAATGACGGCCGCGACGCCCTCTCGCGAACCGAAAACGGCCAATTCGCTACTCGACGTGTCGGGGTAGGAGGTCCATCCGCCCCCGAGTGGTGAAGCCCGGCGGATGCCGCCTCCCGACCTCGAGGCCCATACGCAGGGCCACGGAGCCCGTGGCGAGCGGAGGAGCGCGCCAGGCCAGAGGGGGGGGGGACCGAGCGCCGGTCCAAGAAGCCCGCGCGGACATCCGACAGTCTCGCTCGCTGCAGATTCTTCTCGACCAACTATGTCCTCGAACCTCGATGCTTCCTCCTCCTCCTGCTGCTCCTCCTCCCGCTCCTGCTCCTCCTGCTCCTCCTCCTCCTCCCAATTCCAAAGCCACGTTGATGGCGATGTTGGTTATCGGTGAGATTGTGAGTCGCGTCCAGCCATGTCCAGCCATGGCGCCCGGCGAGCAACCCGAAAAGGTCCAGAAACGCGGACGAAAACCGCCACCCCGACCCCCGAGCCTTCGGTGGCAACGCATGGGGGGCCTCTCGTACCATCTTGTCGGCTCTTGCGAAGCGACGCTTATCGATGCCAGTCGACGCTGATCGACGCTGAATCGACGCTGAACCGACTCTTGCCGACGCTAAATCGGCGCATCGGCGCTACCTCATCGGCTCCCAGGCGATAATCGACGCTAGCCGCCGCGAAAGACGGAAGTAAGATTTACCAGGCCCCCATGATTTGCTGCCGAGCGAACTTCGATCCTTGACGACGAGGGGATGGCCTTAGGTCGGGCATGCCCTTCTACAGGCGGCTTGGAAGAAGGGTAAAGTTGTTGAACGATAGGCGGAGCTACTAGAAGCTAGTAAAAAAAATCCCCCTCTGACTATGCTTCGACTCCTCTTGACCACTCCTCCTGCGGACGAGGTGCATGCCCGACGCACGACCGAGCCTCGGCCTCGGCCACGGTGCCTTCCGCCTTCCGCCCCGAGGGGGCCTAGGCCCGGCCGCGCTCCGCAGGGCCTCCGCTGGCCCCGCGCCAGGAGCACGAGGCCGCCGCCGGCGGCGCCGTCGGCGCCGCCCGGGGTGCCGCGGCCGCGGGGGTGCGCCTCTCGGGGTCGGCGGGGCTGCTTCGGGACGACGACGACGACGACGACGACGACGACGACGACGACGACGAGGACGAGGACGAGGGCGACGGCGACGTTGACGATCCCCAGGCCCTACACGCATGGAAAAATGCAGTGCGGAGGCTGGCGCAGTCTTCGGCCTCGGGGGGCCCCGCCCCGCCCTGGGGCCGTCGACGGCACGGCTCAGGAGGCAGAGCCAGCCCCAGGGGGAGGGACGGGCAACCCCGCACTGCCAGGGCATTGCAGCACAGCTGCCCGCATCAGAAGGATGCGCGATCAGGATGTGAGGGCCTTGGGCGCCCATCTCGAAGCCTTTCGAGCGGGGCGCGGCCAACGAAAGTGGCCAAGGATTGACCAAGGAGGCAAGGATACAAGGGTATCCTTGGGAAGGTTGTCAGTCCTTACCAGAGTTGACTGCAGACCCGTACCCGGACCCCCTCGCGTTGTGACCAAAAAGCAGGGCGTGGAAACCGACCTTTTGGAAAGAGCAAACGAACATCACATTGGGGGCCTGGGTCATCACAAGGATGCACGATAAGGATGCAAGGGCCCTGGAGGGCCACGTCGACACTCTGCGGCCGGGGCGCGGCCAGCGCAGGGGCAAGGATGCGAACTTAATATTGGAAGTCGCTCATCCTTATTCTGCGGGTCGACTGCAATTCGTCCCACATGCACAAGGATAAAGAGGGGGCACGATCTGTCTAATGCAATCTCCTTCCCATTTGCATGACAAAATCAATCATCGCTGCACACTTCACAATTATGCAGGCCGCACCGTTAGGAGCGAAACGAATATTCATTGAACAATCCCTGGGGTTATGCTGTTCCCATCATACTGAAGGACCACATTCCAAACATAATTTCGAGCACCCAGAAAAGTATCAGAAGAGTGTCGAAGCAGTGTCGAAACAGTGTCGGGCGAGTGTCTCCCAGGGCCCGGCATGTGAAAACCCTTGAGTTTCAGTATTTTTTTGGCGCTCGAAATTCTTTCTGGTGATCAAGGCTAAAGTAGGTTGGAGCATGATAACCCTGGGGCCTGAAGCGCCGGGATCCTGTCAAAATCAAAACTCGCCGACGACGCAGGAAAAACGTAAAACAATCCGCCATCGGAGGGAGCACAATCAAACGTCGCTGGTCTGAAACAAATCTGAAGGAGGGGACAGAAAGCAGGAGATCCACCCCACCCCACCCCCCAAACAAAATCCCAGGGGGGGTCAGAAACCATGGGACCCACCCGACCTCGCCCCGAAAACCCCCACACACACACACACCCGCAAAGAACCTGGGAGGTCCAGACCCCCCCCCTGGGACAAATATTCGGGGGAGTTCAGGATCCCCCCCCCCGGGAAAATTCTTCGGGAGGTCCAGAACCCCCTTCCCCCCTGCCCAGCAAGGCCGCCGCCGGCGACGACGACGACGACGACGACGGCGACAACGTCAGCGGCGTCGGCGGCGCAAATGTCGCCGGCGCCCGCGCCAGGTGCCGGCTTTGATAGAATGCTACTAGGGCTCGATCCAGCTCTCTCAGAATCCCATTAGGGCTCTGCTGTGCTCTACCCTACCTTACCCTACTCACCTCTAAACTACTCTAGCCTACTCTAGCCTCCTTTACCCTAACCTACTCTACTCTACCACACTCTATTCTACCCTACCGTACGCTACACCCGACACCCCGCCCACACTCCACCCAACACTCCGCCCTCTCCCGACGTCCATCCCGACACCTGACCTGGCTCATTTCCCGACCTCGGCGCCCAGCCTGATACCTGGCCCAGCGTCAGGCCGCTTGCTGTGCTGGAGCTCAGCGCGCTCAGCCGCAGTGCTGGGATCAGCGAGCGCGATGTTGGAGAACAGTGGCAGCGCGACGCGTCGCTGCTCAGCGGAATTCTGGCATGAAAACTGCATGCCAACGCGACCAGCTACACTGTTGACGCCACAGCATCCTCGCGAGCACAGCGCGGGTCACCGACGACAGTACCCTCGGCAGCACGGCGCGGATCACCGTCGCCAGCCTTTTCGCCTGCCGGTAGCACCAGCACACTGTGCGGACCACAGACGCCAGCACTCTCGCCAGCACGGCGCAGATCACCCGCCAGCACTCTCGCCGACACAGCGCGGAGCACCGACGCTCAAGTTGCGTTCTCTCTGAGGACTGCAGGCCAGGCTGCCCCCGGGGCGTCGGAGGGCCACGGGCCACTTGCTGACCTGGAGGAGCAGCAAGAGGACCGTGGGGTGGCTGGGGTGGCTCCGGTGAGGAAGAAAACAAAGCGCCCAGCGGCGCACCGACCGGGGATGTCCACCCCGCAGCAGTCCTGGCCTGCCTGGGAGGCGCAGACTAATCGGAACCTGGGCTTTTGTGTGTGTGTGTGTGCATGTGCGTGTTTGGCCGCTTGAGCGTGGGCCTACCTGGACCTTCGTCTGGTGATGGTTGCGCGCTTCATGCGGTGGCGAGCCCGGGGGGGAAGTGAGAAGGGGCCTTCTCGGAAAGCTCGGAAGTCCCCTGGCCTTCTGAGAAGCTGACTAAGCTTCCCCCGAAGACGCAGAAGACCTCTCAGAAGGCGCGAGAGCTTCTGAGAAGCCCCGCCGCCCTCTGAGAAAGCCTTCTCCTCCTCACCCCCCCCCTCGCTCGCCGCCGATCCAACACCAGCTGTTTTTGTGGGTGTTTGCCGCCCCGGCAGCCCTGTGGCTGCTCTTCTGGCGACTGGTGGCCCTGGTCTTCGCACATTGAGTTCGCCCGAGGCTGCAGGGGCACTTCGGACGCATCGTTTGGAGCGTTTCGGAGGCGGCTCGGTACTCGCAGCTGGCTTCGGCTTGGGAATTTGAGTTCTGCGAGCACGTGGATTTTTAGGCCACTTGGGAGCGGGCCGGCCTGGAGCTGGAGCGTGTTGTTGGTTGCGCGCTTGTTTTCCGTCTCCCACCAATGCTTCGGCCTTTTGCCGCCCTGGTGACCCTGTCTCTGGTCGCCCTTCCCTCGGCAACCGGCTGTGGGGCCCGCACCACCTGTGCAGCGCTCTCAGAGCTGTATCCTCTATCTGATACTTCGGCCTTTTGCCGCCCCGGTGGCCCTGTTTCTGGTCGCCTCTCCCTCGGCATGTTGACGCAAGTTGACGCACCCACAGACCCCTTGGGTGGAGTCCCCTTTTGGGGCACGAATCGCGTGAGGGGTTTACTGAGGCGGGCGGGGAGCCGCATGTGGACGTACCCAATGGGGCCTCGAATGGAGCTCCCTAGGAGGGCAACGAAACGTTTGAGAGGTGTGCCGAATTCGGCTGGGGGACGCTGTGTGCTCCCTCCCAGGGGCTCCGGTGGGGCTCCGTCTGGGGCCACGGAACGTGCGAGGGGGGGGGAGCCAACGTAGTTGGGGAGCCGCATGCGGACGCAACCGCTGGGGCCCTTCGGTGGAGATCCTCGTGGGGGACCCCATGCTCCCCCCCCCCCTGGGGCTTCTGTGTAGCTTTATGTCGGGCATGTCCCCCCTACAGGTGGATTTTCGACGAAAACTGAAAATACCCCCCAAATACCCTCAAAAGGTCAACAACTACTCAAAAAATAATCCCCATACTATTTTTGGAATATTTTTTTTGATTAGTTGTAGGGTATTCTTTATTCTTCGTCGAAGTCCCCCTGTAGGGGGACAGGCCCGACTGAAGTGTAGCTCCCCACGGGGCCACGAAGCGTGCGAGGAGTGCACCGCCACGGGCAGGGGCACGGCCTGCGCCCCGCTCCCCCGCGGGCTTCGGCGGAGGCCTCTGCGAGGGGGGGGGGGGGCACGGAGCGTGTGGGGGGGGGGGCCGGAAGCGGCGGGGGGACGCCGGGTGCCCCCCTCCCCTCCTCCCCGGGGGCCTCGGTGCAGCTCGCCTGCGGGGGGCGCGGCTCGAGCGAGGGGCGCGCACCTGGCCTGGACGCGCGGAGAGGGAGAGCAGCTTTGGAAGGCAGGGGCGAGAGGGAGGTACGAGGGGAGGGAGTGGGGCGCGGGGCGCTGCGGGGTCCAGCAGCGAGGGCGCGACAGCACGGCACGCTCGGCACTCTCGTCGCCGGAGCTCTAGGACCCTCGTGCGTCGGCGGCGGCCACGGCGGTGCTCGTGGCAGGGGGGGGGGCCCGGGGGGCAGGGAGGGCGAGGGGCCGGTTGCGCTCGGCGGGCGCCGCGCGCCTGGCCCTGGAGCAGCCCCGCGAGGAGGCCCTGGTCGCCCCCGGCGCCGGGCTTCGGGAGGGGCGCCGCCGCGAAGATGTCCTCCCCCTCCTCCTCCTCCTCCTTCTCCTCCTCCTCCTCCTCCTCCTCCTCCTCCTCCTCTTCTCCTCCTCCTCCTCCTCCTCTTCCTCCTCCTCCTCCTCTTCTCCCTCGTCGTCCTCCTCCTCCTCCTCCTCCTCCTCCTCCACCTGTCTGGGCGCCCGAAAAGGGGTACGGGAAGAGTGGGTGCAGGGCCCGGCAGCACATGTTGTCCAAAAACCAACAGCGGCCGCTGTTGGGCAGGCGGCCTTCTGTCTCGAGTGGACACGGGCCGCGGCGGCGTGGACAGCGAGTCCTGTTCAAAATTATTAACCAGATCCGCTGTTGGGCATTGTGCCCATTCTTTCAGTGCCCATTTCGTTCGTGCAGATCCTGGGGGAGTATTACGGTGGGGGCATAGGAGAAGAAACCCTTAGAGAAAGAATCCAGGGTCTGGGGGCCGGTGGGACTCCAATCGAGGCTTGGCCATGGGTATTGCCGCCGACCTCCTCAGATAAGGAACCCTCCAGGGTCTCAAGCCCCCCGGGCACATTCCTTAAAGAACGCCCCCACCGTAACTAAAACGAAGCCACGAACAGGACAAAGTCGGACCGGGACAGAGCGGGGATCCCACGATCCATCACTCGAGCAGGGATCGACCGTCCGGGCATTCCTATAGGCCTACCACGGCATGTTCGTAGAACCCAACAATGCTCTAAGAACAGAAACAATGTCCTTAGACCAAAAGCCTGATGTGTCAAAGCAAGACAGTTGTAGCCACAAGTGTTCCAGGAACACGCCGAGCAGACCACAGGCCCTTGGAACATTCCTTGGCGGGCCTATAGGCAAGCCAAAACGCTTTGCCACTGCCAAGACGATTTGCCACTGCTTGGATGCTGTGTTTTTTTGTTGTGTGTGTGTTGTGTTTGTTGTGTTTGTTATCCCACATGTGTTTTTTGTATGTTGTTTCCCCACGTGTTTTTTTATGTGTGTGTGTGTGTGTGCGTGTGTGTGTGTGTGTGTTTTGTGTGTTTTGTGGGTTTTGGGTGTGTGTTTTTTTGGGGGGAGGTCCTGGAAAGCGGGCATGCCGGCCGCCGAACGGTCGCGGCGGCCCCCGACGCGCGGGGCCGCCGTGAAAGCCTCACGCGGCGGGGGGGGGCATGCTTGCGGGCGGCCCGGCCCGGCAGAAGGGGGGGCTCGGGCCTGGGCTGCGACGGAGCCCTCGCGCGGAGGGGGAGGATTCATGTTTTGGTTGCAGCGCGGCCACCATATCCGAGCGGGCAGGAAGAGGAGAAGGTGGTGGAGGGGCAGGAGGGGGAGGAGGGGGAGGAGGGGGAGGAGGAGGAGGAGGAGGAGGAGGAGGAGGAGGAGGAGGAAGAGGAGGAGGAGAAAGAGGAAGAGGAAAACACTCGCAAAGGGAGGAAAACAAGACAACGGCCGACCCGTCCCGTTGTCCTATCTTGAGTTGGGCGGCCCTGCCGGTCCTTCACCATGGTGGCCGCGGGTTTCGGTGGGCTCCTCTTGAAGGGACCCTGAACTGTGTGAAGGATGAGGAAGCGACGAAGGCACGAGGACGAGTTCTCATGAGGCGAAGATAGCGCGCACCATCACACATGCACGTAGGAACAAAAAACCTATTGCATGGGCGCATCGCTGCGCACATCGCTTGGGGAATCCGATGAATCCAGGGAGCCCTAAGAATCCGAGGAACCCGAGGAAACCAGGGAACCCGAAGAAACCGAGGAACCCGGGGAACCTGCGGAACCCGAGGAACCCGGGGAACCAGCGGAATCCGAGGAACCCGAGGAACCCGGGGAACCCGAGGAAGCAGGGGAACCCGAGGAACCCCAGGAACCCGAGAAACGCGGGGAACCTCCGAGCAACGGGCATCGTAAGAATCGGAGTCACCGAGGACGAGGAACAAAGGAAACCCGTGGAACCTCCGAGGAACGGGCAAAGTAGCCACCCGAGGCAACAACATTTCACCAAATACTGAAGAAACCATTAGGCAAGCCTGACTGGGAAACACATGCAAGGCCGAAGGCCTGATGCTGGTGGCTAAAGGATGAGCCTCGGGGGCCAGGTGGAACTGTCAGGACGCTTAAGCCGCCCCGTCGGGCTGAACCGACATGACTTAAGCCAACATGGCTACAGAGGGGGCGTAGGAGTAGGAGGATAAGGATCGCAACCTGTCTCGCCATCTTCGGGCCACTGAGACTTCAACGACGAGAATAATCTAGACGATTTGCTGTTGATGAACAAGAGGTAGGGAGCGGACATCCCGGCGACCATACAGGTAGGTAATACACGCATGGGCCCCGGTGAGCCTTGCCAGGGTGGACCCCGTGCTGGTCGGGGAGCGGGGGTTGGGAATGGGGCGTTGCTGTGCAACTTTGCACGTCGCGCTGCGCGACGCGCGACGGCCCTAGAGACTGGCAGCTCTGCACCTCCTCCTCCTCCTCCTCCTCCTACTTTTCCCTCTCCTCCTCCTCGTCCTCCTCCTCCTACTTTTCCTTTTCCTCTTCCTCCTCCTCCTCCTCCTCCTCCTCCCCCAGAGCCCTCGGGTCCGAGGAGGGCCCCGGGGCGGGCCGCGCGCGCCGCGGGCCGCGCCGCGCACGCCCGCGCCCGCGCTCGCGCCCGCCGCCGCTCCCCCCCCCCCGCCCCCAGTCCGCCCGCCCCGGGGCAGGGGCCCGCCGCCGTCGCAGGTGCCGCACCGCCGCCGCTCCCGGCCGCCGCCTCTGCCGCCCTCTCCCGCCGCTCCTCCTCGGCGCTCCTCCTCGGCGTTCCTCCTCCTTGGCCTCGCCGCTCCTCCTCGGCGCGCCTCCTCGGCGCCCCTTTCCCCTCCTCGTGCTAGTGCTGTCCTCGTGCCAGTGCTGTCCTCGTGCTAGTGCTGTCCTCGTGTTAATGCTGTCCTCGTGCTGTCCTCGTGCTAGTGCTGTCCTCGCGCGTCCCCCTGCAGCAGCGCTGTCCTCGCGCTGGTGCCGTCGTCGTGCTAGGCCGCCGGTTCCAGGCCCAGGGGTGTGAGCCACCAGACCCCTGCGTTAGGCGCGCTGGCTGGCCCGACGACCACCTCAGGCAGCGCTGATGAGCGTGCGCGCCACCTCCCGGACCACGCAGGTGGCGATGGACCGGCAGCGAGTGCTGAGAGCCCCCTGTCGCCCAGGGCCCTCCAGCACTTGCTGCGCGAGCCATTTCCGGGTGGACTCGCCCATGGCTCCCGAAACTTCGAAGCCGAGGGGCTGGAAACCAGCGACTCCGTTGTATTTGCGGCGCTTGGCCTGTTCGGCCAGTCTCGCAGCGGTGCCCCGGGCGTGAGCCCCTCCGGCCTGCAGACTCTGCTGCGAGGCGGGATGCACGATCGTTAGGTCGATTGGTCATGACAAGCCCACTGGCCGTCAATGCCGGTGCACATGAGGTCCGCGCGGAGACCCGGATTCCCCGGCCCGGTGGGCGGGCGAATCCATGGTTCGACTGCGACGTCGCAAATGCCGGCTTCACGTAGGGCTCGCGCTATGGTGTCGCGCAGGTTGTTGCGCCTCTGAACCGCGAAGCCGCCGTAGGAGCAGCAAAGCGCGTGGCGTCCCTTAGTGTCGACGGTGCCCGCGCAGAGGGTTCCGTCCTCCTTTCTGAAGGGACAGAGGCCGTCAACTGCGCGTACAAGACCTCCGAGTCTGTGTCTCACGGCCATCCTGAAGCGGGCGTCAGCGAGGTGGTGGTCGGGCCGCGTGGGCGGCCCGAGCCACGCGCCTGCTCCCTTGCCTGTCGTGCTAAGAGCCCAGGCCCGTTGGTGCAGTTCCGTCTGGGTGCGTCGTGGCCACTGCGTCCACTCTGCGTGCCGCCTGTGCCTGGTAAAGCGCCGCTGGGCGGTGTCGGGCGGTTCCGTGTCGGGTGCCTGCTGCGCTGCCGCTTCCTGTGTCAGCGCGTTGACAGTGCTCTGGAGGCGGTGGGGCGCTGGCCTCAAGCCTGGGCAATAATGAAGAAGGTCATCTCTGTCGCGGAGGCCCAGTCGTTGGAGCACTGGCTTCTCGCAGAGTGCCCGCGAGGCCGCCTGAACATACAGGCGCACTGCGCTCACGCTCTGGAATCCCAAGCCGCCCCAAGCGACAGGGTGCCAGTATTTCTCTTTCTGCTCCGCTGTGAGGTCTTGCTTTTGCACTAGCTCCTCCAGCGTGCTGAGTAGGTCGGCGTCGAGCTGGGTCGCCGTTTGGGCGGGAACCCCGGTGGCGCGCATGTGCCACGTCATGTCTCCTGCAGTGGGGGTTCGTAGTAGTACCAAAAACGTCTGAACGTCTGGGCCGGCTTTGTGAAGGTCCATGAGTCGGGCCATGGCAGTCGCCCTCCTGGTTCGTTGGCGCTGTAGTCGCGACGAGGCGGGTGAGTGCAGGCTGCCCTCCTCGGCGTGCTGGTCGGCGGTTCCCGGCGTCGCTGACAGGCCGGAGTAGCCGCCGGCGTGATGTCTTAAGGTCGTGGGCTGCTCTACTTGCGGCACGGGTAGGCCTGCTGGTATCGCGGCAGGATTCCTCGCCCACACCTCACATTGTCGACGCGTGTTTGGAGGCCGGCTTGGCTCAGTGTGTTGGTGTAGGCTGCGTATATGGTGGGCAGGTCTTCAGGCTTCGTAAGGATGGTGAGGTCGTCGATGTAGCCGAAAAGCTCGTGCTGTATACCTGCTGGGTCGAGTTGGTGTTTGGCCCTCTCAAGGGCTCGGTCGAGTCCGAGGCAGAAGAGCGCGGTGGCCATGCCGCACCCCTGGAAGATGCTCGTCGTTTGGTTCCAGATGTGTCTCCTGCCCCCGGTGTCGCGGTAGACTACCTGCCCGGCGTCCCGCAGGAAGCCTCTTGCCCATCGGCGGAGTTTCGGGCAGTGGGCATCGATGCCTCCGTTAATGTACACCCTGCTCAGGTTGTGGAAGGCGTCTGCAGCGTCCAGAGAGAGCACAGCGTAGTCCGGGCGGACGTGGAGGGCAGTGGACACGTGCTTGTGGACCAGTTCCGCCCCAGCCGTGTGCTTGTACCCGAACTGCGTGCCGCGAAGCCCCATCGGCGACCTCGGCCGCCGCCATTTTGTTGACCGCCTTGGACGCGAGACGGCGGAGCGGGCTGGCGAGGTTGATTGGGCGGATTCGGGCGGGGCTCTTGGTGAGCGGGAGGAGGCGGGCGGCCGTCGCCAGTTCCTGCACTTCCTGCGGGAGGGTGCCGCGGGCTAGCGCTGCGGCCACTGTGGCCAGGGCACACAGAGCGGACAGGTCAGTTTGGACGAGTTGGAAGTGCTCGTACCGCCACCAGTCGGGCCCAGCTGCGCTTCGTTTTGGTGCGGCCCGCAAGGCTTTGGCGAAGTGTAGCTCGAACTGTTGCTGCTCGTCGTCCTGTTCGTCGTAGGCGGCTGGTGGCTGTGGCTGATGGTGTGGGAAGAGCTGCGGTGCGGCTTGAAGGGTCAACTCGTCTCCGGCAACTTCGAGTGTTTCGCGGAGGACTCTCGTAGCTTTGCCCGCCGCGCCTGCCTCCGCGAATATGCGTGCCGTCATAACGTCGTGCTCTGCGGTAGTCTTCCGTCTGGCGCGCAAAGGAGGTGGGGCGGAGTCAAAGACGGCGCCCCGAAGCTGTGTTTCGCGGTGTTCCCTGATATCCGTGGCCCGGCGGAACAGCGTAATGGTGACTTGAGCGTTGCCTCTCTTGCCGCCTCGGAGGTTGGCGTGCCCGAGCAGCAGCTTTGGGAGCATGAACAAACCTTGGCCGCCTTGGTGATGGACTCCGGGGTGCCGTGGTGGATCTCGTGGGCGAAAGCATTCGTGTGCTCCGTTATGATGGCGCCCACCACCCAGCGAGCGTGCGGCGGTATATGGGCGGCCGTGGGCACTGGTTGTTGAACCATTTCTGGCGTGATGGCGTCCGCCCATTCGGCGTTGGTGTCGCTGCTGGCGCGCCTGGCCGTGTCGAGTTGGAGTTGCACGTCGGCTGGCGCAGGCGGCGCCGGCGCGGTGACGACGGCAGCCCATTTGTTTACAACTTCTCTCTTGAGTGCAAAAGGTAGGTCGTCGGCCAGTTCCAGGTCAGCGTTGCTGGTCTGGGCGCAGACAAGAGCGCACTCCAGGCAGGCGACGGGGCTCTGCGGCGCAATGCGTGTGCGATAGCGGATCACCTGCGGCGGTATAATGGAAGTACACATCGCGCACGTAGCAGCTCTGCCCGTCCGTGGGAGCGTGGCGTACCACGTCGCGGCGTCCTCTCGTGGCCGTCGCCGCGACCGTTGCCCGGCAGCGTCGTCTGGTAGGGCGCCAGGCCCGGCGGCAGCTGCAGTGCCAGAGCGGGAGGTTTCGCCAGTTCGTTGCGCCCGAATCCGCCCGCGTCTTGCCCCGAGGGTCCCAGGCGTCGGTGGCGCATTCGTGTCTATATCGCCCGCTGTGGCGGCCGCGGCCGCGCCAGGGCCTTCCCCGGGGTACCCCAACGTGCAGTCGAAACCCAGCTCGCTCCACGTCGCGGCCATTGCAGCTGGCGCCATCCCGTACGTTTGGCTCTTCCTGGCCAAGTTTTCGAGCCGCGTCCAGCCGTGGTGACAAGAAGCCTGACGTGTCGGGGCACTCAATTTCGCCGTGGCCAACGTCATCGTGTAGCTGGCGGCACCGACAGCAGCTCCCGTAAGCGCAGCGGCCAGCAGGCAACTAACGAGCAGGACGATCGCGAGAGCGTACTTCTTGCCAGACTTCTGCACGAGGCCGCACGCCTTGGAGGGCCTGGCCATGAGGCGCCGCCCGATCGTTAGCACGGCAAGCAGCAGGTCCACAAAGAGACAGGTGAGCACCGCGAGAGCGCACGTGAGATGGCCTGCGAGAAGTGAAGGAGATTGGCAGCTGCCGAGTCGGCTCCAGCGGACATCCTGCACTCCCCCGATGTCCGGCGGCATTCCATGCCTAGAGCGCCCAGAACAGCAAGGCCGCAAGCACCTGCGACCGTCCGCGGGCGTGCCAGAAGAGGCGCAACGCCCTCTCGGGGACGGTGCAGCAAGTTCCCCTGGTCCCACCACTGATTGTGCTGCTGAACGTGGCGCTGCTGGTGTCCGTCGCGCTTGTCAATGTAGTGCCGCTAGTTGCAATGTTGCTGTGAAGCATGATGCTGCTGATATTGGTCGTGCTCGTAATGCTTATCGTCGTGCTGGGCGTGGTGATGCTGTTGGTACCAGTCGCACTCTGAACACTCGCGTTGCTGCTCTCACCGCTGCTGCTCGACGATGTGTTGGGCGTAGTCGTGTTACTGGTACTAGGCTCGCTCGGAACACTCATGGTTACACCTGTACCCGTGCTGCTCGCCGACGTGCTGAGCGTACTGGTGCTAGTGGTGCTGCCTGTACCCGCCGTGCTCGTCACACTCGTGGTTCTGCTCTCCGTCGTACCGCTCGCCGCCGTGCTGGGCGTAGTGGTGCTGCTGAAGTCGGTCGTGCTCGTCACACTCGCGGTGCTACTCTCGGTCGTACTGCTCACCGATGTGCTGGGCGTACCCGTGCTGCTGGTACCAGTCGTGCTCTTTACACTCGTGGTGCTGCTCTCGGTCATACTGCTCGCCGTCGTGCTGGGCGTAGTGGTGCTGCTGGTATCGGTCGAGCTGGTCATACTCCTGGTGCTGCTCTCGGTTGTACTTTTCGCCAACGTGGTGTGCGTAATGGTGCTGCTGGTACGTCTCGTGCTCGTCCCACTCGTGGTGTTGCTCTCGGTCGTACTGCTCGACGACGTGCTGGGCGTGGTGGTGCTGCTGGTACCTGTCGTGCTCGTCGCCCCCGTGGTGTTGCTCTCGGTCGTACTGCTCGCCGACGTGCTCGGCGTAGTGGTGCTGCTGGTGTCGGTCGTGCTCGACACTCTCGTGGTGTTGCTCTCGGTCGTACTGTTCGCCGCTGTGATGGGCATAATGGTGCTGCTGGTCTCGGTCGTGCTCGTTATCCTCGTGGTGCTGCTTTTGGTCGTACTGCTCGCCGACGTGCTGGGCGTAGTGATGCTGCTGGTACCTGTCGTGCTCCTCACCCTCGTGGTGCTGCTCTCGGTCGTACTGCTCGCCGACGTGCTGAGCGTAGTGGTGCTGCTGGTCTCGTTCGCGCTCGTGGCCCTCGTGGTGCTGCTCTCGGTCGTACTGCTCGCCGACGCACTGGGCGTGGCGGTGCTGCTGGTGTCGGTCGTGCTCGTCACCCTCGCGGTGCTGCTCTCAGTCGTACTGCTCGGCGACGCGCTGGGCGAGGCGGTGCTGCTGGTACCGGTCGTGCTCTCCACATGCTGCTCTCGGTCTTGCTGCTCGCCGACGTGCTGGGCGTAGTGGTATTGCCGGTGCCAGATATGCTCGTCCCAATCGTGGTGCTGCTCTCGGTCGTACTGCTCACCGACCCGCTGGACGGAATCGCGCTGCTGGTCTCGGTCGTGCTCGTCCCACTCGTGGTGCTACTTTCGGTTGTACTGTTCGCCGACGTGCTGGGCGTAGTGATGCTGCTGATACTAGTCGTGCTCGTCACCCTCGTGGTGATGCTCTCGGTCGTACTGCTCGCCGACGTGCTGAGCGTAGTGGTGCTGCTGGTCTCGTTCGCGCTCGTGGCCGTCGTGGTGCTGCTCTCGGTCATGCTCGCCGACGTGCTGGGCGTGGTGGTGCTGTTCTTTGTCGTACTGCTCGCCGACGCACTGGGCGTGGCGGTGCTGCTGGTGTCGGTCGTGCTCGTCACCCTCGCGGTGCTGCTCTCAGTCGTACTGCTCACCGACGTGCTGGGCGTAGTGGTGCTGCTGGTCTCGGTCGTGCTCGACACCCTTGTGGTGCTGCTCTCGGTCGTACTTCTCGCCGACGCGCTGATCGTGGCGGTGCTGCTGACCCCGGTCGTGCTCGTCACCCTCGTGGTGCTGCTCTCGGTCGTACTGCTCGCCGACGTGCTGAGCGTAGAGGTGCTGCTGGTCTCGTTCGCGCTCGTGGCCCTCGTGGCGGTGCTCTCAGTCGTACTGCTCGCCGACGTGCTGGGCGTAGTGGTACTGCTGGTGCCGCTCATGCTCGTTACCCTCGTGGTGCTGCTCTCGGTCGTACTGCTGACCGACCCGCTGGGCGGAGTGGCGCTGCTGGTCTCGGTCGTGCTCGTCACCCTCGTGGTGCTGCTTTCGGCCGTACTGCTCGCCGACGTGCTGGGCGTAGTGGTGGTGCTGGTCTCGGTCGTGCTCGTTACCCTCGTGGCGCTGCTCTCGGCTGTACTGCTCGCCGACGTGCTGGGCGTAGCAGTGCTGCTGGTAGGGGTCGTGCTCGTCACAGTCGTGGTGCTGCTCTCGGCCGTACTGCTCGCAAACGTGCCAGGCGTCGTGGCGCTACTGGTAGCGGTTGTGCTCGTCACACTCGTGGTGCTGCTTTTGGTCGTACTGCTCGCCGACGCGCTGGGCGTGGCGGTGCTGCTGGTACCGCTTGTGCTCGTCCCGAACGTGATGCTGCTGGCGGTGGTTCTGCTCGCCGACGTGCTGGGCGTAGTGATGCTGCTGGTCTCGGTCGTGCTCGTCACACTCGTGGAGATGCTCTCGGTCCTCCTCCTCCTCCTCCTCCTCCTCCTCCTCCTCCTCCTCCTCCTCCTCCTCTCACCCTCCTCCCACCTCCCTCATCCCCCGCCGCCTCCTCCTCCTCCTCCTCCTCCTCCTCCTACGCTCCTCCTCCATGCCTGCTCCTTGTAGACAACTTCTCCCTGTCGCTCCCCGAGGCTGGTCGAAAGGGCGGCCCAGGCGATTCGGCTGAGACTTCCTCACCACTTATGGCCGTGATGCTCAAAAGTTAACACCAGCTTCACACATGGATGGCGGGTGGTTCGCACATTCGTTTTAAACCATTGGAGGTTTTCACGGTTTGAAGAGGTTTGTTTGAAAAATATGGCTTCGGCCTTAGCGCCGGATTGAGGGCGGGTCGCTTTGAACATGTGGCTCTCGATGGTTTCCAACATGTGGCTCTCGCCTCGGCGCCGCGCACACCCGTCTTAGAACTGCGCACGAACTTCACGGATTGAGGGCGGGCCGTTTTCAAAATGTCGCTCTCGCCTGAGCGCCGCGAACAAGTGAAACAGCTTCACTGGTTGAGGGCGGTTCGTTTTCAGCATGTGGCTCTCGCTTTAGCGCCGCGCACATTCACTTTTAACGTTTGCACGCGTGCCACTGATTCTCATGGTTAACGTGCCAGAATCGGTGTTTTAGAACGGTTCAGGGCTGTCAGGGCTCAACAATTACGTTGGTTCGCGGTGTTGAGGTCCCAGGGGCGACGTTAGGGGCGATCGCCAAGACGTAACTAACAGTCAGGTTAGAGTGCGGCGTTGAAGTCCTGAGAGTGAGGTGTAAACACGCTTCACGATGGTCACACGGCTGTCCCCCAACAGGGTAATTCCCACAGTGGAGACGGCCCCTTGTAGGAGCCTGAGAAAAGGGATCTTGGAGGGAAGGTGTATGCCAGCATCGTTGATGGGTCTTGGGTTTGCACTTGTCCTGCTCCTCCTCCTCCTCCTTCTCCTCCGTTTCCTCCTTCTCCTCCTCCTCCTCCGCCTCATCCTCTCTCCCTCCTCTCCCTCCTTCTGGCCATCGCTCGGACGTCCATTCCCTGTGTTTTTGTTCGGTTTCGTGCGTGGTTGTTCGCCACATGGGTTGCTCCTCGATGGTCCTCGCCGAGGAAAACATGCACACGTCCGAGCGATGCCAAGCCTTTCTCAGCTCCTCCAGCCATTCTCCGCCCACGCGCGCCTGGACGGGGGACGGCGCAGCGGGCGCTGCGGCGGCCGACTTGAGAAGGGCACCGCCGCCGCGAGCCAGGGAGCCGCTCCAGCGCTGGCGGCGCACGCCACGAGCCGAGCTGCCCCGACACGCAGCACGCAGCACGTTCGTTGCGCATTGATACGGGGATCAGCACGTAGACCGAACTCGCCGGTCTGGCGCGACACGTTCGGCGGAGCGTGGGTCCAGGCGTGGAGCCAGCACGCAACGTATCGGCGCGGACGTGTGGAGCACGGCACGTGTTGCGCAGCAGAGCGGGCGCACCAGGGCAGCTCAGGCCAAAGAGAGCCGAGCAGATGACCGAGACTCGCAGGCGGCGGGTGCGGAGGTGAGTTGGACGTGACGCCAGCGCCCGTGCCCCCCAAAGTGAGGGAGTCACAGGCCCACGAAGCTCTGTCTACCTGCGCGAGAGGTCGCCCCGTGGCTGAGGAGACGAGGAAGGCAGCAGCAGGGGAGGGAGGAGGAGAAAGGGGCAAAGCAGCAGCAGAAGCAGCACCGCAAGCGCGGCCAAGCCACGCCTCCGCGCGCCCCGGCTCTGCGGGGCCCGCAGGGGCACGACTCAGGCTTGCCAGCTGCTGCAGTCGGCGAGATGCTGTGGGGACCACAGCGGGAAGACGCAGAGATGTTGATACTGCTGTGGGGCGCACGGCCGCCGTTCCTTGTGATGTTCGCGGAGGCGAACCCCGTGCAGCACAAGGGTATGAGTTGCTGAAACAGGCGCCAACTCTCCGGGATATGGGAGACGCCTGGTTGTGCACTGACCCACCCGCCCGAGGGCCCATGCGTTTGTGTACGCGATGAGCGCACGTGTCACGTATCCTTGTCAATCCCAGCGCTGGCTTGGGTTGAGATCGATGTGCAGCAATACGACACGTGTCCATTGAAGCTGATGGGCCCGTACAGGGTATAACTTTCCAGAGTACGCTTGGCTATACCATCACAGCCTGGAAAGGAACGCGCATTCCATCGCAAAGCAAGTTTTGGCGAACTTTGGTCAGCACCGATTGTAATCCATTGTTTCAGGCGGTGCTGGCTAAGCCGGCAATGCTTAGTGCGTTGCGGAAGCACGACGTGCGAATCGTCAACTGAGGCCACGAGCACGCTTGATCTTGTAGTGTAGCCGATGATAACCAATGCTAATCCTCAGCTCTCCTCCTCCTCCTCCTCCTCCTCCTTCTCTTCCTCCTCCTCCTCCTCCTCATCATCATTATCATCATCCTCCCCCTCATCCCTCTCCTCCTCCTCCTCCTGTGCCTCCTCCTTCTCCTTCTCCTTCTCCTCCATTCCTTTTTCTTGACAGATAATTTCTCCCTGTCGCACCCAGCTTTTAGGACGGTCCAGGCGTATCGTCTAAGACACCCTCACCATTTATGACTCTGAAGCTTCAACCTTGACAAGCTTCACTGATGGAGGGCGGGTAGTTTTCGAAATGTGGCTCTCGCCTTAGCGCCGCGCGCATTCGTTTTTGATTTTACTTGCCAGAGCTTCAGGGATTCGTGTTCAACATGTGGTTCTGGCCTCAGCGCCGCGCACATTCGCCTTGTAAATTTCGCAAGCGTTTCACGAATTGAGGGCGGTTCCTTTTCGACATGTGGCTCTCGCTTAAGCGCCGCGCACATCCGTTTTAAAACTTTGCAAGGGTTCCACGGTTTCTCATGATCAGCGTACCAGCAATAGCGTTCTGGAAAGATTCATGATTATGAGGGCGCAACAATAACGTTGATTCGCCGTGTTGAAGTCCCAGGAATGGCGTTCTGGCACGAGTCAGGATCGTCAAGACGCAACAGTCAGGTTGATCAGTGGCGTTGGAATCCCGAGAACGATGTTTTAGCATGCGTCGGGTCTTCAAACGGTTGTCTTCCAACGAGGCAGTTCCCTCAGTGGAAATGAACCTAAGTAGGGGCCTATGAAGCGGGAGCTTGGAGTGAGGGTTGATTCCAACATCGTTGATGACTCTTGGGTTTACACTGGTCCTCCTGCTCCTCCTGCTCGTCCTCCTCCTCCTCCTCCTCCTCCTCCTCCTCCTCCTCCTCCTCCTCCCCCTCCTCCTCCTCATCCTCCCCCCCACCACCTTCTCACAAAGAATGGAGAGAAGGAGGGAAAAGGGGGACAAAAGGGGGGGGCTCGTCCCATCTCGTCCCTGCGTCACCCGGACGTAACCGAACAATGTTCTGCTCGCTGAATCTGCCAAGCTGGGGGCGGTGCCACGACCACTCCGTGTGCACACTAGAACGTGATATGCCTGAGGAGGCGACAGGAGGACGAGGTAGGAGGAGGGAGCGGGGAGACAGGAGGAAAAGGTGAGGAATGGGACATAAGTAGGAGGGGGGCTACCACGACGTCGACGACGACGAGGACGGCGGCGACCCTCACCTCCCTTTGCTCGCCATCTGCGGGGCGCATCGGCCGTTGCAACCGACCACGCCGCACGGGAACCGAGGGCCGGGCAGCGCCAGGGCACCGACGCGGGTCGACTCCGTGGTCCTGGCGAAAGGTACAATTGGCTGGGGGCGCTATGGCTCGCGGGAGGAGGCGGAGGCGGAGTGAGGAGGAGGAGGAGGAGGACGAGGAGCAGGAAGAGGAGGAGGAGGAGGAGGAAGAGGAGAAGGGGTTGCGGGGAGTGGAGAAATCGGAACGGGCAGTACGGTTGAGGAGGTGGCAGCTACCCAGGTTGGGCCAAAAGCGTGTGGTGACGGCGGCGCCTGCGGACTCGGGCCGGCGCCCGACAGAGAGAAAAGAGAGAGAGAGACAGAGAGGACGAGAGAGAGACGCTCTGGCACATTCGCCAAGCAGAGTCCAGCTCAAACCATGCAGGCCCAGGGGCCATGAACCTCCACGAGGTGCGCGTCCACAAGAAGCGAGCCAAGCATAGCATCGAGCATGCACTCAGCGAAAGGCCTAGGCCTCAGCAGACCCTGCCCAGGAGACTGCAGTGGCAACCCAAGCCCAGGGCCCGTGCCCGCCTGGAGCCGATCAAGCAGGGTGAACTCCGCAAACGCTAGGCTGCGGCAAAAACTCCATTATCGTCCTCGAATCCAAGAGCCCCCGCTCCAGAGCTTGTGGCCAGCACCAGGAAGACCCTGGGCACGCGAAAACATGTATGGACACCGAGCGGCCCGAACGCCGAATGCAGCTGACACACCGGAACCCTCCAGGAGTCGGGACGTGGTCGCGCGGGCCGGTGTGGCTCGCATTCGGCCCCCTGCACGGGGGAGCCTTCCGCGCTTCGGAGAAGCCCGGCGCCAGCGGTAGCGGAGGCAAGTGTGGGGCAGCCGCCCGGAGCAAACTCGCCAAACTCTTTTTCGTCGGCGGCGAGGCGGAGGCGATCTGCACCAGCATCCGGCTAGGCGGGGCAACCGATAGGCAAATTGTCCAGCGTGCAAGCGAAGACGGGGGCGGCCGCGCGAAGGGTGGAGGGGAAGGGCGCCCACACTCGCCAAGCACCTGGCGACGAAGGCAGCGCACCCTGAGGATGCCGCGGCGCGGTCCCCTGTCGCCGCTGCGCGGGATTAAGGCTGGGCGCCCGCGCGGGCCCCCCGGCCAGCACCAGTGGTGCGCCCATCTCCAAGGACTGAGCGCCACGCTCGACCAGGCCACCCTCGTGGCGGCGAGCACGGCCTTCCACACTGCCCCCCCAAGCAGCCCATTCGCCCCCACGTCTGAGACCACGCGTCGGCCGCTTCGTGCTGGAATTCCGTGGTGTTAACTCAGCTCTCAGCAGAAGTTGGTGCGACCCCGCCACAGTCCCTTAAGAAAGAGAGGAAGGCCGGAAGAAACATGACACCAACACGTGTCCAGAGAAAGTGCCTCGGCGAAACCGGACCCCCAGATGGATCCATGAGAGCGCCCCGCAAAGAGACTCCAACAACGCTTGGTCACCAGCAACCTGCGCAATGGCCCAGCCCGCACGTCGGAGCTGTTCGCCACGACCAAACAGCAACCCACAGGATGCGTCTGCAAAAGCCTCGGGGATGATGATGATGATGATGATGATGATGATGATGATGATGATGATGATGATGATGATGATGATGGAGATAAGGAAGAAGAGGAGGAGGAGCAATAAGAGGAGGAGAACGAGGAGGACGAGGACGAAGCGGAAGATGAGGAGGAGGAAGAACTTGTTTTGCTGAAGGCTGCTGCTGCGACAAGCTTCCGGAGAGATCAGCACGCAGGAACATGTGAATAGATGAACAAGTCCAAGGAACCAAGAAGTCTGGCCATTACTGAGACAAAACCCCAGAGTAGACATCATGTCTGCTGCATCGCCAGGCCCTACACAATTTGCAGGAACGCAGCATTCGAATTCGCACCGGCTGCCATCAGCCGAGAGGCTACCTCCAAGCTGGTGCCCTCAGCGACGGCTGCAGCTGCAACTCCGAGAACACAGCTTCGCCATCAGCGAAGCGGCCTAGCAATGCAACGTCCGTGTCCTCTAACACTCTCGCATCTTGTGAAAAGATTCCAGACTGAGTGTCCGTGGCAAAATCCTCATGGGAGGCCTTCAAAAGTTAAGGATTCGTGCAATGAGGAGCGTCAGAAACCTGCTGCTGCTCTGAGACGGGGTCGAACACATGCGAACGCACCTTCTTCTTATTGTTCTTGCGCCGATTATTTGTTTCTTCGAGGCATGGTCCGTAATGCCAGCCGTCAGCGAGGGTAAAAAAGAAAACGAGGAACGACCATCCCACTCGAGGTGGACACCGCCACTATGGGCAGATGTCTTCTGGACACCGCCACTGTGGGCTGATGTGCCTGCACCGAGATGCGACTCCAAGGCGCCGCCGCTGCCGGCTGACATGCCAATGCCGTCAAGCGTGATACCGCCACTCAGGGCTGGCGTCCGTGGGATCCTCGTTCCTGCTGGCGGAGTCGGGGGTGCCAGCGGCGTGCGCGGAGCAGGCGGCTGAGGGGGCTACCAGCCCATCGCCAAAGCCCTGTCCTGCTCCTGATCCGTGGGCATGCCCTTCGTCGGGCGTTGGACTATGCGCGCGTGTGGCTGCGGTGCGGGCGGTTTCGCCTCCCCGCAGGGCCATGGCGACGGACGCGGCGACGTCTTCGGCGGCGCAGGGTACCACTACGAGCACTACTACTCCACAAGCGCCCACGAAGAGGCGTCGCAAGCGCATGCTGAGGAGGAGGAGGAGGAGCAGGAGGAGGAGAAGGAGGAGGAGGAGGGGGAAGGAGGAGGAGGAGGAGGAGGAGGAGGAAAAGGAGGAGGAGGAGGGGGATGAGGAGCAGTAGGAGGGGGAGTAGGAGCAACAGAAAGGGGGAGGGAGAAACGAAGGCAGATAATCATAATGATCGAAAATGGGCATCCACAGACTGGACATGATAATTAACACGACGATGGGAACCGCCATTGGATAACGCAAGAGAGGGGAGGAGAACACGGGAGAGGGGAGGTGGGGGCGACGGGGGGACGAGGAAGAAGGCAACGACGAGGATTACAAGGAGAGGGGCAATGCAAAACGAGGATGACGAGATGAGGAGGCGGATGGCATGGAGGTGGAGGAACCTGGGGAGGGAGGGAGAAAGGCATGGGAACATGATGATGGGGAGAATCGGTTGAGTATTGCGCGAGATGGGGATGAGAAACGTCAAGATAGCTAATCAGAGGATGACACCGGGAAGAGGAAGGGTGATATGGGCAAGAGTGGCGAGGACGAACAAGTCAAACAAAAGGAGATCTGGCTACGTTGCAATACAATGGGGGAGATAACGAGGTACCAAGTAGGAGGTTCGGCGGAGGAACAATACGTAATGAAGATGAAGAGGATGAAGGTGTAATGGGATCAAGATGATGGTGATGCTGCTTATGATGCTGTTGATGGTATGGAGCCTGTGCGCACAACCGGGGAGCACGTGGATGAACATTTTTTCATCAGCAGGAGGGCGCGAAGCCCCCCTTCCTGCCCCCATTTGGGCACATCAGGCCGAATTCTGCCGCCCCGCACTCGAGAAAGGCTCGTGCGTGCATATTCGCTGGGAGGATGAACAGCGTGCTGATAGAGGGGGAGCTGGCTGCAGGCAGGGCACAGTCCACACGGCATCGCCACATACCGACAGTGAACCTGCCCACAATTGCCTTCACATGGCTGGCTCCGAGGGCCGAGAGGTCAACTTCTCGAAGACGAGGCCCTTGGTGGAACGGCTCGGCGATCCACACACGCACACACCTAAAAGGTACAACCCGGTTAAGTGCTGGTTGCGGGCGAAGGCTCTGTCGCTACGGGGTCGCGAAAAAATCAACAGATCATCAAGTGGCGCGTGGCGCGTGGCAACCACGTGCTGATATTGGACAACGTGCGTACATCCCGCACGAGCGGCTGCACGAACTATTACGCATATGCTTGAGACTCCCTTTGCAAAGCACCCCACCAAACCTAATCTAAACATCGTCAAAGATCCGTGCCCTGCCTACTTTGTCTTGAATGTTACGCCTGTAGAGGGACAGGCCCGACTTCACATAGAACAAAACAAAAACAGCGTAAACATGGACTTGTGGCGCTCCGCGCGGACTTCTTGTGGCGTGTTTTCTTATTATTCTTCTTCTTCTTCTTCTCCTCCGATTGACATTCCCCCGAATCCGACCACTTTTTGACTACTCTGTCGGCTACTCTTGTGGCAACCTCTTGACTATGCTTGAACACTCCGCCTGTAGAGGGACAAGCCTTAAGCCGGACATGTCCTCCTACATGCAGAATTTGGGCGAGTCATGAAAAAACGTGCTTTAAACAAAAAATCAAAACTACAACAAACAATCGGCCCCATATTATTCTTTACTATTTGGTGGGCATTTCCCTCCTGTAGGGGGACAGGCCCGACTTCAGGCAAGCCCGACGCAACACAGGCCGCCCGCCCCACACAAGCGACGCCCCCGGCGCACGTGCGCCACGCGGGCAGCGGCCGGGGCGGCGGAAGAGGGCACGGGCTAGGGCGGGCAAGTCCTGCCACAGGCGGACTTTGGGAAGGCAAATAAGTAGAGGGCAGAAAAAAAACACCCCGATACTAAGCACCCCGACGCGCGAGGCCTTTCGCAAAAGCGTCCAGAGAAGGAAGCGAACAGGGCAAGGCTGTTTAATGAACGCCCGGGGCCGTTTGGTAAACGCCGCTTGTCCAGTTCGGGTGGCTTGTCCTCCCTTGAATAAAAAATAGCCGAACTACCAACAACAACTGCGAACTACCAGACTCTGTTTCTACTACTCTTGAAGATTCATCCTGTAGAGGGACGTGCCCGACTTGAGGCGCGGGCCCGCCGGTCGCAATGTTCTCCCGACGCCGAGCGCCTGGCGAAACCAATGGCTGACCAGGGAAGGGGAAGGGCAAGGTCATACCCTCCTCGGGCCTCCCTCGAGCACCCTCCATCCTTCCTCCGCCCTCCCTCCCCGCATCCTGTCCTTAGCCTGCTCCCTGCATCCTCCCACTCTTCCCCCTCTCCCTCCTCCACAATTACTCAATCTGAATACTACTCTCCCTCTTCC